TTTCTGTCTGCTACTTTTAGGATTGGATTGTTGTTGTTTTTCTAGTTCTCTTTTTGTCTTTTTCCGTGTCCGGCAACGGATCGCAACCCTCAGTGTTGCCCCCGTACCGGACCGTGGACCAGCATCGGGATCGCAACCCTCGGTGTTGCGCCCGCACCGCGCTCAGCCAGTGAGCGGGAACCGGTCTCCACATGGGATCCGAACCCTCGGCGGGAGCGCCGCAGCACTCCCAAGCGGCACACTCTCCAGTGCGCCACCGGGCCGGCCCAAACTTTTTAAGAAAAAAATAGACAGAGGGGGAATCTCTGGGTTAAAAGAGATATAAAAGACATAATCAATCACAGTGTGTGGTACTCATTTAAATCCTGATTTTTTTTTAAGTGCAAAAGAAATATTTTCATGAGCAGTTGGAAGTTTGAACACTGATAGGATATTTGAGGACAGCAAGGGGTTATTGTTGATTTTTTTAGGTGTAATACTGTAGTTAAATTTTTGAGGTATGTATTGAAATATTAATGAATGTGATGATTTATAAAAAAAGGCTGCTGATCCCCAGTACTCTTAGGATTATATCTTGAGGCCTGTGCTTCTCCGTCCTCTGCCCTCACCCACTGCAATCCCACTACACTGGCCTGCTTGTGGTTATTTCCATGTGTCAGACTCTTTCTTGCTGTATGGACTTTGCACACACTGTTTCTTAGAGATGCCTGTCTGATCCCATCCCTCTCTCCACCAGAGCAGTCCCTTGTCATATGCTCTCATGCTGGCACATAGCAGAGGCCTGAAGTCTCCAGCAGTGACATGGAGGAATGAGAGGGCTCTGGTCCCTTCTCTCTCCCTCTACTGCTGTTGTCTTAGCCTAGGCAACCATCACCTCTCAGCTGTGCCTCCGCAGGAGACACCTCACCTCTCTTCCTGACTTCACTCACCAGCCCCTCTGATCCACCCTCCATATTGCAGTCAGGTGGCCTTTCTAAGGGCCTGCTCTGAATTTTGTGGCCACTTGTCTGAACTGAAGGAGAAGCTCAATGGATGTGGTCTCATCTAATCCCCCATAGAGACAGCCTGTGCACATAATGTGGAGCAGGCTTCCTCCTGTCCTCTGTTTCTGTCCTCTGCCACCCAAGAGCTCTGTATCTGCTGGTTGCAGAGGGGCCTGGGTGTGTAGAGACTGCAAGGACCATGCCCTGCAGCCGTCTTATGGTGAGCACCAGAAGCCACTTTGCCACTGCCCAGGCCTGGGCACCGGCCCCAGGAATACAGAATGTACTCCAGGCTGGACCCCAGGTTGCCAGTCCCCACCCAGAAGAACACAGAGTCCAGTTATTGGGTTCTTGGAAAAGTCACATCAGGGAGTTTAATGAGTTACCTATGGGGCTGTTTTCCACCCCTGATGGTGCAGAGAAGCCTAGGAGGTCAAGCAGCAGCAGGGGGCTGGGCAGCTGGACAGGGCCTTGGCCAATTACGGCTGGCAGCTAGAAAAGCAGGAGTGGAAAACACCCTTCTCCGATGGAAAACAATCTTCTGGCTCTGGCTGCAGCTGGCTTGGAAGGCATTTCCTCTGCTTGGTGACCATCCCTGTGGGTGGGGTAAGAGGTTGGTGGTAGGGAGCAAGGGACTAGGTCAGAGCCCGGGTCCCAGGCCTGGTCTGCCACGGGCTTGCTGCATGACCTTGGGCAAGTCACTCCTTTTCATCAGCTTCCATTTCATAGCCTCAAATGGAAAATGAAGAGAAGGTGGGGGAAAGAGGGGGACACACTGAATGGACACTCTCTTTTTGGCCCCTCAGGTCTCGAATTGCGTGGTCCCACCTCTTCGTCCTACTCCTGGTCTCCCTCTCCTCCCCCATCCTCCTTTCTTGGAGAGTAGAGGCAGGAGAGCATAATGGTTAGAGCTCTGGGCTCTGGAATCAGACGAGCCTGGGTTGAGTTCTTTGCCCCTCTGGGCTGTGTGAGCTTAGACAAGAGGCTCACCTTCTCTGAGCCCCCATTCCCTCATCTGTGAAATGGGGACACTATTTCCTGCCTCTGGAGCTCCTGGGAGGATTAAATAAACTCAAGTCCAGAAGACACTGGATGGAGACTCAACAGATGGTAGTTTTACAAACACAAAAGATCTGGGTGAGACTGGGGAGCAGCTGGCAGAAGACAGCAGGGGTGAGAGAGGCGTCCACACCCCCCTCTGCAGTTCCGGACCTCTGCATTGCCCCAGCCCCAGGGCTGCAAAGTCCCTCATTCCATAAAAATTTAACAGCCCAGGGACTGGCCAGTTAGCTCATTTGGTTAGAGCATGGTACTGATAACACAAGGTCAAGGATTTGGATCCCCAGAATGACCAGTCGCCAAAAACATAAGTAAATAAATAAATAACATTTTAAAAAATAATAAAAAAATTTAACAGCCAAGCAAAGAGAAATGCTCAAGTTCTGGCTTGTGACCCGTAGGGTTGTGCAATGAGGGGCCTTTTTTGGCCCAAGGAAGATCCTCACAGGTGGACCCCAGTTGAATGGGGTGTGGAGGAGCTGGGGAGCCCCTCCCCCACTTCTCCCCTCCTCCTCCAGCCTCTCCTCCAGTCAGCCTGGAGTTCCACCATTAGTGACTTCTGTGGTTTAAACCTGGGGTCGGCAAACTATGGTCTGAACCTGTTTTTGTAAAACCTTCATGCAAACTAAGAATGATTTTTACATTTGTAAATGGTTGGGGAAAAAAATCAAAAGAATAGTATTTCATGACATGTGAAAATGATAATGAACTTGAAATAAGTGTCCACAAATAAAGTTTTATTGGGACAGCCACGCCCACTTATTTATGTGTTGTCTGTGGCTGCTTTTGCAGAGCTAAGTAGTTGCAACAGAGACTGTATGTTCCACAGAGCTGAAAATATTTACTATCTGGCCCTTAACAGAAAAGGTCTGCAGGCCCTGGTTTAAGGGAAAACAGCTTTGAAAGTGGAAATGCCTTGGGGAAGATTCTGTTAGAGCTGTTAGGTAGGAGTCAAGAGTTCCCGTCTAATCTTTCAGTCATCTGCCAGTCAAGTGACTGGGTCATGTGCCCTCCCTGAGTCTCCCTTTATCCATCTGTAAAATGGACACAGCGATTTCTCCTCTCTTTACCCCAGCATTGCTGGAAGGCTCGGTTTAGTTTGTCATTCACCCCTAGTGGGAAATAACTCAGCCTTCCTTGTTGCACAGATGAGAGAAGGGGGATACTTACAGGGAGATGCCTGTGTCACACTGAGCAAGGGGAGCAGGGAGAAAGAAAACCACGTGCAGAAGAGACAGACTCTCCCAGGGGCTGTGTCTGGGGATAGCTGGCAACAGGCAGGCCACCGAGGCAGGGGTTGCCGCCAGCCTGCCTCCCAAGGCTCAGAGCCCGTGCCAGGGCACTGGAGACAGGCCACTACATTCATACATATTTAATCTTGTCTTACCCATCTCACTAAGGCAAAGCCAAAGTCCCACAGTGGCCCAAATACCTACGGGATCTGCCCTGACCCACCTTCCCTTTCTGATCATCTCTCTCTCCCTTCCTTTTCCCTCCTCCTCCTCAGCTCCAGCCTCCCCACCTCCTTGCTGGACCCTCCTGCCTCAGGGTCCTGGCAGCTGCTGTTCCACCTGACTGCCTATTAAAAATTGCCCCCTGACCCCCACTGCCACCTTCCCAACTTTGTCTTTTTCCCTAGCACCCTTCTCTGTCTGTCGGGTACACGTCCTACTCCTCCTTTCCTTGTTTTTATGAACACTTCGCCCCTAGAGTGTGAGTTCATGAGCACAAGGATTTTATGGTCACTACCTGGCACGTGTGTAGGACTCAATGAATCTTTGGAGAATGAATAGATGACTGAATTTAATTAATTCATTTAAAATAATTAAGAATTATTATTTAATATTAATTAATAAGCCAGACACAGAAAGATATATACTGCATGATCTCACTTATATGTGGAATCTTAGAAAAAAGTCACATACATAGAAATAGAGAACAAAGTGGTGGTTACTGGGGGTTGGGGTGCGGGAGAAGAAATGGAGAGACATGGGCCAAAGGATACAAAGTTGCAGATATGCAGGAGGAATAAATCTAGAGATCTAATGAACAAGAAGACTTTAATAATATCGCTTTCGGTATTTTTGCTAAGACAGTAGATTTCGGATGTTCTTGCCACAAAAAGACTATGTGAAATGGTGGATATGTTAATTTTCTTGATTATAGTAACCACTTCATTATGTATATCAAAACGTGTTGTACACCTTAAATATATGCAATGAAAATAAAATAAAAGAATCATTATTATGAATTAAAATAAAAATTATCTTTTTGCTACCAATTATTGCTGTCTGTGCATCAGATTTAATTCTCCTTTAATTCTCCCCCCAGTCTCGTGGGGGAAGGGGAAGCCCCATTGCAATATTCATCGTTTAAGGATGAGGAAACTGAGCCTACAGAGGTGTCTGAGGCCACCCTCCTAGGAGCAGGGGCTGCTGGGCTCCTAGTCCAGGGCTCCAGGAAGGACCAGAAGGGTCATGGTCTCTCTCGAGCCAAAGCCCCTCCTCTCCAAGGCAAAATAATTGGACGAAGAAGCCAAGTCGGTTAAAAAGAATCGTTTATATTCTATACACATACACACACTGGGTTCAGGATGACAGTGCCAGGTGTGGACAGGGGACAGCTGCTGCAGCCCCCACAGGGTCTGCCCTTTCCTCTCTCCACCGTCCTGGTGCCCTGTGTCCCTGCCCAGCTCCCCCTGAGGCTTGGGGCAGGCATGGAGCCTTCACCCCCGACCCTGCCTGTGGGCCTTGTCACCCAAGGGCAGCCTTTGACGCCTGCCTGTGTGCTCAGGCCCTCCGTGTCCCTGGGGTCAAGGCCGCGTGCAGGGTCGTGTTTACCGAAGGTCTCGCTGACGCACGGGGGCAGGAGGAGATGACGTTCAGCTTGCAGCAGGTGGCGTGGGCGAGCGCCACCCTGTCCCGCTCGCAGCCCCGGAGCTGCAGCCAATGACCCTCCCCGCTCAGTAGGGGAAGGGCGACACGGCGATGAGCAGGACGAAGACGCTCTGGTGGCGCGGCGCCGCGGCGCGCACGGTGGGCCGGTAGAGGCCGGCGCGGGTGAGCGCGCGGCGGGTGTAGACGGC